CCCAATGTATTTAAAAAAGGACTTCTTGTTGTCCTTAATCCGGGAAGCCAGCCCCTGTTCCATCTCTGCCTTGGCCTTCCTAACCATCCCCCTACATCCCCGAGCAACTGCAGAATAGTCCTCCTTAGTGATGACCCCTCCTTTCCATTGGGAGTAAGCCTCCTTTTTGGCAAGGAGACATTCCCGGATGTTTTTAGTGAGCCATAGAGGCTTATATGCTCTCCTGCCCCCTTTGACCCTCCTGGCTCCCCTCCCCTCTGAGTCTTCAGTGCTTCTCCAACTATCCTCCTTAGCTCGTTGAAGTTTGCCCTCCTAAAATCTAGGGCCACCACCTGACTGCTTGCCTTTGCCACCTTGCGCTGAATGGTGAATTCTAGCTGGCAGTGGTCACTGTCGCCCAGGGGTCAAGCACCCGCAGCCCCCTCACCAGGTCATGGCCCATGGCCAACACCAAGTCCAATAAGGCATCCCGCCTGGTGGGGACCAGCTCATTGAGGTAGCAAAAGGTGGTGTTCTCCCCAAGGGAGAACACCACCTCCCTTGGAAACCCATTCCAGATTTTTGGCAGCCTTCACCATAAAGATTTTTTTTCCTAATGTCTAATCTAAATCTGCTCTCCATCAGTTTATGGCCAGTGTTCCTAGTTACCCGAAGAGGTGCCCTCATAAACAGAGTATCCCCTATTCCTTGCTGCCCTCCCTCCACCAATGAATTTGTAGATGGCTACAAGATCCCCTCTCAGCCTTCTTTTCTGGAGGTTGAAGAGATTCAGGTCCCACAATCTCTCCTCATAAGATATTACCTGTAGGCCTATAACCATACAAGTAGCCCTCTAGATCCTCTCAAAGTTATCCACATCTCTCTTGAAGTGCAGTGCCCAGAACTGGATGTAGTACTCCAGCTGTGGTCTTACCAATGCCACATAAAGAGGAAGTATCACCTCCTTAGACCTGCTTGTGATGCACCTTCTAATGCATGAAAGGGTGTGGTTGGCTTTACTTATCACTTCATCACACTGATGATTCATGTTCATTTTGGAGTTGACTATGACTCTGAGATCCCTTTCTGCTACTGTGCTGCTTAGAAAGTCGCCTTCCAGCCTGTAGGTGTGTTGGTGATCCTTTCTCGCTAGCTGCAGCACTTTGTACTTATCCTTGTTAAACTGCATCCTATTCTGTTCTGCCCACATTCCCAACCTGTCCAAATCCTCTTGAATCCACTCCCTGCCCTCCAGCATGCTTACTTTGCCCCATAATTTGGTGTTGTCTGCAAATCTGGACAGAGTGCTCTCCACGTCCTCATCCAAGACACTGATAAACATATTGAACAGCACTGGTCCAAGGACTGAACCCTGGGGAACTCCACTGCCCACTTTTTTCCAGGTCAAAAAAAACCCATCCACCACAACCCTCTGTGTGCACCCCATAAGCCAATTCTCCACACACCTGACTGTGTAGTAATCTATATCACAACTGCTTAATTTATTAATAGGAATGGGATGCAACACTTTATTTGAGAATTATTTTAATGTTATTATTTTTAGGATGTTGCGACAAAAGAACCTCCAGGAATTCACCACCTTGGAGGAAAGACCCCTTACCATTACAAAGATGGGGACACTGTGTGCAAAGAATGGAGCAGAGAAGAACATTCTGAAATGGCTCTGGAGTGAAAGTTGGTTAATAAAATAGGTATATTTTCCTTAAGTGCCTAAATAACATGGAGTTTAGGTCCCAATGAAAGTCAGTTGGGCTTGGGTTCTTAATGTACATGGGCACTTTTGAAATTTTTACCTACAGTTTAAAATCATGTTCATGTTATTATAAAATAAAAATCAGATACTCAGACCTGCAGTGGGGTCCTCTGGCTGGACCCACTCTGAAACTCCATTACATTTAATGGTTGACTGAGTAAACAAAGGACACAGGCCTCATGGCAGCATCATACTAAAATGTAGAGAAGTCCATCTTGCTTTAGCAGTAGTAGGGTTAAAATACAAACAAACAAACAAATAACCACAAGCATTCACTCTTCATCCAAATGTGCTGATGAAAACTTTCACACTGACACTTATGGTGATCAAATAACAATAGAACAAAAATCTAATTTCAAACCAACACTAAAACAAGAACATTTAGGTTTGTTGTTCTTTTTTTTTTTGTTATTGACAAAGTAACAGCTTCAGCTTGCTACCATATAATCTCCTTTCACATAAAAATAACAACTATTTATTTATTATTAACATTTGTTATTTGTTCTTGCCTTTATATTAATATTTGCTTTTGGGCTGTTTTTTGTACATTTGACTGAATGATGCATGACTAGAGCATGACACCAAAACTAGTGGACAGCTACCCAGTATCAACATGAGTGCATTGCTCTGTCTTTTTAAATATCAGATACATGTCTCTTCTATTTTTTTGTGACTCTTACAAGAACTAACAGAAAAGAACATTGTTTTAATTTTGTAACTTTATTAAGTCTATGGGTTATGTGGGGGGACTGCATGTTTTATGGAAGACTCCATGCCCAATAAAGTTGGTGTTATCATAATGTTTGTATGTGTAATCTATATATAGATTGAGATAAAAGGAGCCTGTGCTACTTCTGAAGAGGTGTAGCTACCTCAGGGGTGGGCAAAATGTGACCTGCAGGCCAGATGCGGCCCGCCAGGCTTTTCTATCCGGCATATGGGACCCCTAAAAAATTTAGAAAATTAATATTTATCTGTCCCTGGCTGCCTTCCATGCGGCCCTCAATGGCTTGCCAAAACTCAGTAAGTGGCCCTCCGCTCAAAATAATTGCCCGCCCTGAGCTACCTGTTTCAGCACCTTGAGCAGAACTGGAACGGGGATGGGGGCTGTGTTGAGCAGAGAAGAATGGATATGTAGGGGGTGAGAGGGGCAGACAAAGTTTAATCTGATACAGCAGGGGTACAGGGAAGAGTCCTGTCATCAGCTTCTTCACCAGTAGAAGTTGCTGCCAGTGCAACAGCTATACCACTGTGATTGAGGCTGTAGAAGTCTTCATTTGGCAGTGACTCTGAGAAGCAATGCAGTAGCTGTTGGCTGCAATGGAGCAAGTGGAGGAGGCTGATAAGGGACTCCTATTGGTTCCTGCCTCCAGTCTGCATGGCCCACATTTCTGGCCCCTGGGTGAGCCCAGTTAGGACTGCCAGGATCTGGAATGGGCTCCCAAATGAGGTGGTACTCTCTCCTATCTTGGGAGTCTTCAAGAGGAGGCTAGACAGATATTTGGCTGGGGTAATATGACCCCAGCAGCCGTTCCTGCCTGGGGCAGGGAGTTGGACCTGATGATCTGTTTAGGTCCCTTCCAACCCTAAGTACTATGATACTGTGATACTATGATATCCCAGATACCTAGCCATAGTTACACTACTGTGCTTCTGGCACAGAAGAGGCTAATCACGCATCACCAGTCAGCAAGCTGCTGCTATGCACTGGTAAGTTGAACATGTGAATGCAGACACTCTCCCTTCAAGAAGACACATGAACCCTGTTAACAGGAGGGTACTAATTCCCTGAAAAGCAAAGATAAATTATGTAGGAGAAGACCAGCTATAGGTAAGAAATTACCAATAACCTGATGGACTCTTCAGTGAAGACTTGGTACCTTTTACCAAAGTATGAAATGCTGCTCTCCCTACATGTACAACTGATTAAATGAATATGGGCTAACACCATCTTAAGAGTTTCATAGATTCATAGATTCATATATGTTAGGGTCAGAAGGGACCTCAATAGATCATTGAATCTGACCCCCTGCATAGGCAGGAAAGAGTGCTGGATTCAGATGACCCCAGCCACATGTCTATCTAACCTCCTCTTGAAGACCCCCATTTGTCCAACCTGTCCAGGTCTGCCTGTAGTTGTTCTCTGCCCTCTGGTGTGTCAATTTCTCCCCACAGTTTTGTATCATCCAAAAACTTGGACAGAGTACACTTCACTCCCTCGTCCAAGTCACTGATGAACACATTGAAGAATATCCGCCCAAGGACCGAGCCCTGCAGGACCCCACTGCACACGTCCTTCCAGGTCAATACCGACCCATCCACCACCACTCTCTGGGTACAACCCTCTAGCCAATTTGCCACCCACCGGACTGTGTAATCATCCAAGTCACAGCGTCTTAATTTTTCACCAGTATGGGGTGGGATACTGTACCGAAGGCCTTCCTGAAGTCTAAGTAAATGATATTAACCCCTACTCCTGCGTCAAGGTGTTTTGTAAAATTGGTCATAAAAAGAGACTAGATTAGTTAGGCATGATCTACCTGCTATGAACCCATGCTGGTTTCCCCTCAGCATAATTTTTCCTGCTGGGCTCTC